CATTAGCCATCAGAGAGATGCAAACCAAAACCATAAAGAGTTATCACTTCACTCCCACTAGGATGGCTAAGATTAAAAAAAAGAAGAAAAAACAACAAATGTTGGTGAGGATATGGGGAATTCAGAACCCTTACCCACTGCTGGTAGGACTGCAAACTGGCATAGTTGTTGTAGAAAACAGTATAAAAACTAAAAATAGAACTACCATATGATCTAGCAGTTTCACTCCTAGATACATACCCAAGACTTGAAAGCAGAGACCCAAACAGAGAGTTGTATACCAACGTTCATTGCCGCCCTATTCACAAGAGTGAAAAGTAGAAACAACCTAAATGCCCATCAATAGATGAGTGGATAAACAAAATGTGGTACATACATAAAATGGACTACTACTCAGCCAGTAGAAGAAATGAAACCTTAATACATGCTACAATATGGACGGAGCTAGAAGACATCATGGTAAGTGAAGTAAGTCAATGACAAAAGGGCAAATATAATATGACTTCACTTATGTAAAAAAACACAAACAGGTAAATGTATAGAGAGCAAAGTTTATCAGTGGTTACCAGGGGTGGGGAGGTAAGGGGAAAAGAGGGGTTAACTAAAGTGATAAAAACATCATGCTGAATGAGGGTAGGATTGCACAGCGAAGTATTGTAATTACTATCAACAAGTTGGAGATCTGGTAGCATAGTGCCTAAGGCACTTGACTGCTCACCAGAAGGCTGGCGGTTCAAACCCACCAGCCACTCCTCAGAAGGAAGGTTGGGCAATCCTACTTCCGTAGTGATACTGCCTTGGAAACCCAAGGAGGGGTCGCTATGAGTCGGGGCCAACTCGATGGCAAACAACAACAACAACAACATCAATAAGTTATACACCTGTAAAAAGTTGTATAATAGATACATTTACAATGTAAAAAAAGAAAAAAAAAATGAAAGAAAGAGTGCTGCTGAGGCTGCTCATGTACAACCAAACCTCACCGGATTTGGTTTCTTGATTTGGAGGTTAAGGGTCATTGTTTCACGGGATATCCCAGTTAACTGCCCTAATAACATGCTTAGTGCCTCTGTCCTACCTCCTAGTTCACTGCGTAGTGCCTGTAGTCTTGAAAGCTCACAAGTGGCCATCCAAGGCACAACTAGTGTCTATTCAAAACAACAGAAAAAACAGAAGAGTCTGGAACAGGAGGAGGATATGGGATGTGCGGCTAACTGCCTCCATGAACAACTGCCTCCTTTGCCATGAGACCAGAAGTTCTGGATCATGCCCGGCTACCATTACTGAGTATCTGGCTCGAAAATTCCGCAGAAGAATCCTGATCAAAAGGGAGAAAGTACAGAACAGAATTTCATATTCTCATGGGTTCCAGACTTCCTGGAGCCATGAAGATTGGATGAACCCCTAAAACCACTGCTGTGACATAATCTTATTCAATCTGTACACTGAGAAAATCATCAGAGAAGCTGGACTATATAAAGAAGAATGCAGCATCAGAATTAGAGAAAGACTCAGTAACAACCTGCGATATGCAACCTTGCTTGCTGAACACGAAGAAGACTTGAAACACTTAATGATTAAAATCAAAGACTACGTAGAGCCTTCAATATGGATTATACCTCAATTAAAAAAAAAAAAAAATTCCTTGCAACTGGACCAATGAGCAACACCATGATAAATGGAGAGAAGACTGAAGTTGTCAACAATTTCATTCTACTTGGA